ATAATTCTTCTATATAATATACTTCACTATTATTATAGAAATTATAGATTGTCTGAAGTAGGTTCTATTCTGCAATCGTAGATTCCCGTTTCAACGTATATAACAAATTGCGAAATAGATTTCTCCTTGATTGTTGCAGCAGTGCGGCAGCGGTAGCAGCGGCGGCGGCGGTTCGACGGAGGGTGTCGTGGTGAACGTCGGTGCCGGTAACGGCGTCGGCAGCGGCAGCGGCGGCGTTGGCGTCGGTGGCATGGACTGCATGCCCCTGCGTCCCGGTCCATTTCACTACCTCATCAGCGAGCAAGCCAAGTCCTTAGTGGCCCTGCAGGAACTGCAGAATGAGGTCGGCGCTCTGCTCGAGTTCCGGGACCTCGTCATCGAGACGTTCCCAAACCTCCGGCACAAGATGGCTGCGACGGCGTCCGCGGGTGCGTCCGTGATGTCGTCCAGCTGTACCCAGAGCTCGCACATCCCGTTGCCATTGTCGAGCCCGTCCTCACGAAGGATCAGCGAATGGGAGCCTGGCAAGATAAGGCGACGAGCGACGCGCGAAAGTAGCGGTGGCGGCGGCAGCGGTGGAAGCGGCAGCGGAGGAGGAGGTGAATCCTCGTCCTCGTCGCTACCTAGAAGCCGTAGCAACTCCCACAGCGGCGGCACCAAGAACAACTGCAGTGCGACGGTCCAAGATTCCGGTTTCAGCACGGAGACTTCGTCGAAGGACAGCGCCTCGACGGCAATCGCGCCGCGAGCGAATAGTCCCCGACCAACTGCGTTGGATGAGGCGGAAGATGAACTCTGGAACTTGTTGGACGTGATCCATCGCAAAGGGATCCGGCTACGAGAAGAGGTCGAGTGCCTTCAGGGTCGCCTGGAAAGCGTTGCGACAGAGGAACTGGTGTCGACGGACGTGCTCGAGGCTGTGAAGAAGATCACCGGGCTTAGCGACACCAATAGGACGGTCGGTCGCGACGACAACATCGTTGACGACGAGAATGTCGATCGACAGCAACAGGATAGTAGGGACCCGCAAGTGATAGCTCTCAGGCGGGAAAAGGAACAATTATTGGATAAGGTGGCCGAGCTTGAGGCGGAGACGATATCGAGTCGCGCCCGAGCTCAGGAACTACAGACAGAATTAGCTGCTCTGTCAGCGCTAAAGACTGGTTTGGAAGATCGGTTGCGGGCTGGACTGACTGAGAACGCCTCGGAGATCTTGACACCAGGCGTTCAAAGATTGCAACCGATCGTGCCAGTGGTTTCCTCACCGAAAAATGCTAATAATGTTACGAGTATCAAAAGCAAAGGTTCAGCGTTTGCATCGGTCACTGGTAGTCCTGGAAGCAAGGCTCACAAGAGCCGTTTCCGCACGAGGACAATCGAAAAGAATGTATTGCTGGATGTTGTCGGGCGCAATGACGACACACGCAATGTCGACATCGACGTTGAGGCAAACGTGAATGAAAGGCGAGCCAGGCTGGGAGCACTCGATTCCATTCTGATTTCGCCTACCAGAGTGACTCACGTGAAAGACGTAGACTCAAGGAAGATCGCGGCCATTCTTCGTGAGCACTCGCCCCTCGAGCTTCAGCGGCACCTAATTACTACTACCGTCCATAATCAGGTAAGTTTGGTAATTGATATTCTAATGCATTTGCTTATATAAAAAAAAATAAATTTGACCGATGTGTATTAATTTCTCAATAATTTTGTTTTTAGGTTCTACAAAAAAGACTAGACGAAGTGAAAAAGAGCACAGAAATTCTTTCCGAACGACTGGACAAAGCTCGCGAGGAAAATGATGATTTACGATTCCAGGTGAGTGGCAAAAGTCACTATGTAACTTTTTTATTGTAAAAAGAGTTGGAAAAAATCATATAATTTCCATATATGTGTACTCTTATTCTGGACCAATTGATATAACTTAGGATTTAATCAATATAAAGTAATATAAAATGACGAAACATATTTTTCAGTTGGATGAACGAAATATCGAACTGGAAGGCACACGGGCGCAAGTGCGTGTACTGGAGCGTCTTCATCAACGACCGCCGACGGAAGCAGAGCCTGAAGCGGATTTGGAACAGCCCAGATGCGAACAGAGCGGTCTCGAACCAGGCAGCAGTACAGAGTCCGCACGAGATCATCATCAGCCGGTAGAAATCAAACCGTCGCCACGACGACGGCCTAGTCGTATACCTTTACTTGGTAACGTGAGCGGCAAGATAACGTCGACGACGCCTACAGCGAGCGTGACTGCGACGACGCCTGTGCGACCTAGTCACGGCAGGAACGACAGCAGAGAATCGCTCAAATCGCTAACGAGACCGCCGCGTGATTCTAGTCGCGACAGCCATGGTGGCGGCAAATCGTTGTCGAAACCGCGTGACTCCAGTCGGGACTCGCTAGGTAATAGGAGTCTATCCAGAAACGGCGGTAATGGAAGCAACAATAATAGCGTCGGCGGTGGCGGCAACAAGGAGACAAACCGGGAGTCGTCCTTGAACAACCGGTCCCTGCCGCGTAATAATTCCAGCCGAGACTCCTTAAATAAATCCTCCTCGCTGTCCCGCGCCCGTGACTCGTTGGAATCTAACAACAACCTCGGCACGTCCTCGCCCACCACAGGAACGACTAACGCTCCCCCTCGACGACCGCCCGCTCCCGCACGCCGTTCCCACAGCCTGGCGCGCGCGGCGACGTCTGTCGATGCGTCTGAGAACGGCAAGGTACGACCTGTAAAGCAATTCTTTTGGAGCAGCTGGCTGAAGTCACCGTTGTCCAACGGCCCGGTATAGTAGAGAGCTCTCGGCAAGCATCCTCTTCCTCAGGACGACGGGCTGTAGTCGCTCTCTCTCTCTCTTAGGGACAGTCACCGCCTTCAACATTGCTCCTCTCGAAGTCCACTCTCTTATCTTTTATATTGAAATTGGAAAGCTACTATCCTTTTTATTCCTGATAGTGTCCCATTTCGATCCGTACTGACTTTGGTCTCATTAAATTAAGATCGGCTATATATATATATATATATATATATATATATATATATATATA